TGAACGTTCAGCGCTTTCACGTCGCGCTCGGCGGCACGGGCGAGGGGCGCAAAGGCACTCAGCGTCGATGCATTGTACGTTGTGAGGAACGCGACCGAGTCGTTGTAGATGCCCCCGCAGTTGTCACCCGGTGAGTAGTCGTAGTGACAGATCGAGGCGAGTGTGTCCCGTCCCAGGCCGCGCGACGCGCCAAACCCAGAGAGGGCAAAGAGGAGGAGGAACTCGTCCGGCTGGAAAAACTCAAACACGAGCCGGTAACAGGCGTTCGAGGTGCTGAACGCGCGGAAGATGGGCGACGCGACGATGCTCCAAAAGTTGATGGGCGCCGAGGCTTGGTCGTTGCCGCACAAGACATTCCCGCCTTCGAACGCAATGCCTGACTGCGCAAACGCTTTGGGGAACTGGCCGATGTACTGCTTTTGAGGAATCGCCAGAAAGGCGGCTTGCGCCACCGGATCCGTCACGAGGAGCGTTGTGAGCGCGTCTTGCGTGGCTTGGTACCACTGCAACAACGACGCGGGCACGGGTACGTACGTCATGTCGACGTTCCCAAACGGTCCAAGCACCGAGCGCAGCGACGCAAAGCCGCTCGAGAGCGGCGACGGCAGCGTCAAGTTGTGCATCAGCAAGGCTTCGCTCGATGTGTTGGCAAAGGCGTAGTTGGCGCTCCCTCCAATCAAGCTCTTGCCACCAATGCGACTGCCGTTCGTCGAGACGGCCCAGAGGTCGGACGCAAACGTCCAGTACATCTTGAGCGACGTCTGCTGCTCAACGTGCGTCTTGCCTTCCATGTCGGCCAGCGTGAGCTCGTACTCGAGACTGAGCGCGTTTCGAATGGTAAAGGCGTCGCGGAGGCCGAGCGTCTTGAAGCTTTGCCATTGCAGCGTGTAGCGGGTGATACCACGTGCCTTCCAGCGCGCCACCTCGTCGAGAAGGCTTAGTTGCGGCCCCTGTATGCTGCGTAGCCACTCGTTTCCAGCGTCCGATTGCTGGAGCGTTCGAACAATCGCAATGTCGTACGAGTCGCCCCAGCAGCGACGCCACTCGTCGTAGCTCTGCAGATTCCGGAGCACGGTTTCAAGGTACACGGCGCCGTTCGATGCGTGCGAGTCGCAGCGCGCTTGGCGCAAGGACGAGCTCGCGATCGGCCACTGCTTCTCGAGGTCGAGCCAGCAGTACTGCGTAAACATCCACGGCGCATTGCACGACTGCATGGTGCGGAGGTCCCGCACCGCATGTACGAGCGCGTTCTCGGGCGCATAGAGCTGTCGCCGGCCCATCGTCTCGGGGAACCGAGTCGTGGTCACCGTTGTATTGTACAACTGGCGGACGTCGCCAAGGAAAGGCGCATTCAGCGAGAGGTTGCGCGCATTGCGGAGGAGCAGCTGCGTGTTGAAGAGGTTGGCGAGAAACGTATGGCCGCCCGAGCTGTTAAAGTTGGGCCAGTAAAAGTCATTCGCAAGGCTCTGCGTGACCGTCACCGTCATGTACGCAATGTTGCTGAAGAGTGAGCTCAGAATGTAGAGAAACCCACCGACGAGGAAGCCCACGCGGAGGTATTTCTTTACAAATCGCGACCACGCATCGCGCTTGGCCAGTACCAGAACCGCGTTGGCGTCACTGGACGCTGTCTTGGCCGCAACGGCTTTGGTTTCAAGGTACGCGGGCGCCGACGAGTGTGGCAGCAATAATGCCTCGGACGTGTGGCGATAGCCAAGCGTCTCGTCGCTGAGCACGCGCCAGAGAGTGAGCTCAAAAATGTACAAGCGCCCCGCCCACTTGAACGGCAGGAGGCCACACATGATGGCGCTGATATTGTCGATCGTGTAGTAGCCAGACACGTTGCCATGGTCGTGGAAAAAGGTGGTCGCCGCGCCGTGCAAGAGTACGGTCGGAAACCCGTGGCCATGATGCGTCGACGGCTCTTTTAGCAGCTTGGCAAGACCAATGCCAAGTAGCACCATGGCCCCGTGGATGCAGACAATCGTCAAAACACGGCTAAAGTACCCGATCTGGATCGAACCACTCGAGCAGAGGACACCAATGTCCATGTGAAAGTAGTGGCATTCGCGGCCAATCGACGACCCAAGCGTCGGTGGACTTGCAAGGTCCAGCACCGCGACGATGAGAAAGGTTGCTGCGCTCGTGACGATGGCCACGCGCCGCGTATTGGAGCCAGAGAGATGCACGAGCACCTCGTTGAGGACGTAGGACAGCCAGAGCGTCTCGCCGGCGAGGACAGTCGACTCGAGGAACGGCCGCGTCGAGTCGACAAACCGAGTCGACGCGTTGCCTTGCGGCTCCAAGTAGATGGGTACCGTGGCGAGGCAGACAATGGCGGTGGCGGATCGGACCAGCAGAATCGGCCGGCCGATCCAGACAGTGCTGGCGATGCGGTTGAACATGAACCAGTTGAGGCCCGCGTGGTGCCGCGTCAGCACCAGAGCGAGCGTGACGCAGCTCAACACCATGCAAAGGCCGGCGCTCACGTACCACGCGAGGCCCCACATGTAGTTGGCGAGGCTGCCGCTGACGTCGAGCGTATTCGCGAGCTGCTTCGCCGGCGTATACTTGTACGAGAGAAGCCGGAGTGTCTGAACGTCTCCTTCAAACGCAACCGCTTCGCGCTGGCCAAGTGCCCACTCAAAGAGACTCATCCACCCCAGAAGAGTCCACGCCGGGCTCGTCACGTCCAGAAGTGGTTGCGTCATCACCGAGGTGTTGGCCGTCGCCGATGCACGCACAAACTGCATCGTCGAGAGGTTGAGGGCGGTGACGCTGGCGGCCAGCGCAGACGATGGCGATGCGAGTTGGAGCTGGCGAAACGCCTGAAGGGATGCCGCGAGGGATGTCGTGCAGATGCTGGCGTCGGTAGCAGGTAGCGCTAGACTGCTACACAGAGACGCCGTGGCCACTGCGAGGTCATTTGGCGAGAGCTGGGCCAACGCAAAGAGAGAGCTCGGGGCCGCCCACTGCACGGTGAACGGCAGCTGGCCCGCGCACGTGTCGTCAAAGCCAAAGGACCTTTGGATAAAGTCATATGGCTCCCCGTCGGCGCACATGGGGCTCCCGCCATAAAACATAAAGTTGGGATTCTGCCACTGGACCGGCGTCGGGCGCAGATCCACGACACCAATGCTCGCCACGGCCGCCGCCAATGACGCACTCGTGGTCGTCTGGAGCGTCAACTGCGCGACGAAGGCTTCGACAGCGGTCGTGAGTGCGGGAGGAGGCGGCATGAGCTTGAGGTCGACCGAGCCGAGCTCGCCGAGCTGGTCGTGCAGCGCCGTGTTGGCGTGGTTGAGTGGGTACGGGAGGTTGTACATTTCAATGGCATTTGGCAGCGTGTACCCAAACCAGAGAGGGCTGTTCAGAACCAGACTTTGGTTGGGACCAAAGTAAAAGTTGCCCATGTCGTTCTCGAACGACGCGTACATCGAGTGCGTTGTCCAGAGCGCGTAGCGGTCCACGGGCGTAATGCGCTTGATCGTCACGCGCGTCGTCATCCCCAGCGCATTCTCAATGCCAATCGTTTCGGTTAAACCGGTTTGACGGATCGTGCTCCACTGCAGCTCAAAGTACGTGAGCTGATGGGATTTCCAAAAGACCACTTCGTCTGGTATCGGCACCCACGCGTGGGACAGCATGTACTGCACCCACGGGTAGCCGCCCGGCGATCGGACGAGCGCGCTCACAATCAAATTGTTGAAAAAACCCTTGTAGATCGGGACCCACGAGCCAAAGTCAATGTTGCGAAGGACGGCTTCGAGGTACACGGCTGCATTCGCCTTGTCGTTGGCCACGCACCGTGCTTGACGCTTGCGGGAGTGGCCGAGTTCCCAGCGCTGCTGCAAGTCGACCCAGCAGTACTGCGTGATCATGTGCGTCACCTCGGTCGCAAGGAGCTCCCGAAGACTCGCAATCGCTTTCTCCATCGCCTGGAGCTCGGCGTAGAGCACCAGGCGTGGGTACGCCTCGTAAATGCTGAGCGGCATGGCCGAGTTGTCATAGAGTGTGGGCAGAGCAAAGGCCGGGTTGAGGAGCTCGAGCGACGTAACGTTGAGGGCGAGGCGGCTGTTGAAGAAGTCGATGATCGCATTTTGCATCCCACTCACGACAAAGTCGGGCCAAAACAAGTCGTTGGCGAGGTAGGTCGACATGATGCACATGATACCAATGCTAAGACCGACCGTGAAGAGCACGTAGGTAAACCCAAGAGCGTCGAGCCATCGCGGTGATGCGCTTCTTGTTGTCGCCAGGGATGGCAGCGACTCGATCGCAACACTGGTATCGTAAATTCGAGGAATGGTGGCGAGCGCGGTAGGCTGTGCGTGGCCGCAGTGGGACACAATTTTCGTTTCGGCAAATTCGTTTTCCAAGTTCGTTGCTGGCTATTTTGGACAAGTTGTCCCGCCGTTGACTGGGACAAGACACGTGGACATTACGGCAAACGTCAAAACCAACAACCGACGAGGTTCGAGAATGATATGGATGCAGTATTGTAGCTCTCGCCGTTGTCTCAACTAGAGCGCAGTGCCCTTGTCGTGGCGCGTTGAGGCTGTAGACGCAACACGAGTGTTGGCCCGACGCACAGCTCGTTGGTCACACAAGGAGAAGGAGCACGAAACATTCATCGCAAGTGACCAACGTCGAGTCGCTAGAAGCGGCAACTGACTGCTCTGTGGATTCAGTCACATCACAAACCAGATAGTATCTAGAGCGACGGCCTCCGTCCAAGCTAGTATTAGAGGCGGCACGCTCGACGGGACGCCCTTGGCTTTGCTGGACCGCCACAATAGGATCATTCCATGTCAGAGGAATGGTTTATAAATGTATCGATGAATGTAGCCTAAACACGAACCATTGTGTGTGCCTCTCTCACTAGGTGGTTTGATAAAAAGGCTGGATGACAAAATGGCCCGGGCCCTTGGTGTACTTGACGCCCCGACGCGCGAGTGATGCGTCAATACTGTTGAACATCTTGCCGGGCTTGGTGGCGTGGTTGCCGACACCCGTGACGACCATAAACTTGCGTACACGGTTCTTCTTGGCGAAATCCAAGCAATAGTCGAGCACATGCAGCGCTTCCTAGTGCAATCCTGGGTATAACAACCCTACCCCTAACATATCAAAGTATCAAGTGGTACCTGCAGGAAGAGCCCGTGCATGTCGACGGTCCCGCCGGCCTTGACGAGATATTTGTTTTCGTCAAAGAAGGCGTACGCGGCTTGCTCGCGCGTGATCTGGAGCTCCCGCCGCAGCGACGAGACGCTATGCACTCTGTTGGGAGACGGAAGCAGGCAGCGACGCACGCACCGTTGCATTTTGTCTCGACCCAAGTGGTGGTTGAGCTTGCCGCCCGCAAAGGAGCGCACCGCGGCCGAGTGCGTCTGCTGCAACGCTTCAATGAGCGCTTCCGTTCGTGCTTGGTACTGCACAAAGCCGTCTGGCGCGTCGTCTACATCCAGCCACTCATGTCCTGTTCCTGGGACAACCGAGAGGAAGCCGGTACCGCGAGTTCGGTGCCGTGGCGGGTGGTACTTTGGTGGTTGTTCGTCTTGGTTGGAACTCGGCGCCGACTCGAGCGGTATGTTGAAGATCGACGACACAATCGCCTCGGTCGTCTCCAAGTTGGCATTGTTGAGCAGCAGAGCCTAGTGCAATATACCAATGCATCGTACGCTGTACGAATATACAATGCGATCATTACCGTGCATAGAATGTCCGCATCAACGTTCGGGAGACGCTTCTGGAGGTACTCGAGCTTGAGCTTGGTCGAGAGCGATCCGGGCGTGCCGGTCGGCAGCGCCTGGTCGTTGGTCTCCCACGCATTCCTGGGCGCATGCTTGCCCCACTGCACGACTAGACACGATTTACGCATCGATGAGCCCACATCTCGCGCCTACCTCGGCGCTTAGAGCTGCGACGGGACTGGAGCGAGGGAAAGCTCTTGGCACCCGTCTTCGACTTGTGCGCTGGGCCCTTGGCCATCGACGCATAGCTGTACGTCTCGAGGCTGCCGTTGGCGTTGAGCAAGTGGCCCGTTTCCGACAACGCGTTGGTCGTCGCGGCAACGTCGTACTCGTTTTGCTCAAAGATTTCCTGAATGAGGTCGCTGCGAACATGCGGGAATTGGTCTTGGAGAACTGCAATCGGGTGGTCTTCTTCCTCGGGCGCATCGTCCATCGCAGCGAGGAGTCTATCGCATGCATGAGATGGTGTCGGTGCTGCATGGTTGTACTCGTGCACAATGGTCGACGACGCAACGTGGTCCCCGCCGCACGTATCTTGAAGCGCTTGCAGGAGGTCCGTGCACGTGGCCTCGTCCAGGCCATGCGTGCCCATCTCTGCCAAGAAGAGGTCCCACTGCAGCTTCGAGTCGGCGGCAACCACATCGGCGGTGGCATCGATCGACCCCTTGCGCTCCATGTCCTGGATCTTGAGCATCGAGAGGAGCTCGTCGATCGTGCGCGCGACGTTGCCGTCGTTGAGCTCGAGCACGGACGCGATGTCGCGCTTCGTAAGGCGGTACTCCACCACGTCGTGGAGCAGGTCCAGAGTCGCTGCTGTCATCGTCGTCGTCGTCGTCGAGGCGGAATGGCCAAAACTGAAGCCGCCTGTTTTTCGCCGTTTTTCATTGGTCCACGTTTTACCCCCAACGCCCAATCGCGTGCATCAGAGATCGATTTTTAGCCAATCGAAACGCGTCCTGCTCGGCGCAAAGCACTGGCTTGTTGGGTTGATACACCGAAATGTATCAACCGCAATGGCAGAGATTGTATGGACCCTCGGAGGTTAGGGTAACAAGAATGACTGATCGTTTACGATGAACTCGATTTGGAGTTGTTACCGCGTCAGAATCGGAGGCACAAAACGATCGCTCCGTGCTGCCGCGTCGTCGTCGTCGTCGCTCCACGCATCTTCGTTTGGCGCGGCCGCCTGCTCGTCGATCTCGGTTGACGGCGCAAACTAGATGCCATTGGCATGAGTTTCCTCCTCCCAGTCATCTAGAATGCGCACCAAAGTACGTTCTGGTGGACTCCAAACCGCAATTAGACCATCTTCGCCGCCACTCACCAGTTCCTATGCCAGCGCCATGACACACAACCCACGTACTGAAAACGAGATTACCCGGGTCGACGCGCGGTACAGGCAGCTCGTGACGCGGCTGTAGTGCCCCGTGTACTTGGCGATCGGCTCGGTCGACTCGGTGTTGTGCAAGAGATACGAGGCGATGACGCCGTGGCTCCCCACCGGATGGTACAGCTACCCATCGCTTCGACTTAGCTCCCATGAATTATTCTCGCCGCCAAAAAAGCTCTTGCCATGGTCGAGTCGCTTCTTGCTTCTTGGGCCATGGCCACGGTCACATGACGGGCCCCATGGCACTTGATGCCTGTATAATGATGAAACTATTACCGGCGTCATCCGACAACTTGTCCAATGTGCAAAGTGACATGCTGTGTACCATGTGGGTGCCCGACGCGGCGTTCCAGAGCCGCATGGCGCGGTCGGCGCCCGAGCTCACGAGGAACCGGCCGTCTGGCGTGAACGCTAGCGACTGCACTGCTTTGGTGTGGGCGAGCGCCGACGACGCGGCAGCCGCAATGTGCGGGTCCTGGCTCATCTTGCGCTTCTTGGACGAGGAAGCGACCTAAGAAACCACTCTGCGCTGGGGCCGATTTCTGGTTATCTTAGGACGTAGTGTACTTCGATACGTCGAGGGACGTCGGCCGCACCGTCGTGGTTGAGGCACAGGAGGCACGCGGTGGCACCGGACCGGCGAATGTCCCAGACGCGAATCGAGCCGTCGGTGGCCCCGGACGCCAACTGGAACTCGTTCGTGTTGGACCACGCCAGCGATCGAATCGACGCGCGATGGCCGACGAGGCGGTGCGTGGCGGCGCCGATGCTAATGTCCGCAAGACGCACCTCGGGCCGGTCGGTGCCCACGGCGAGGAGGTGCGCCGTCGCCGGCAAGGGCGAGAACGCGGCCATGTGCACCGCATCGGTGAGGTTGAACGACGACGCGACTTCGAGCTCGTTGGCGTCCCACACTTTGACGCACGCGTCGAGCGACGTCGAGACAAACATGCCATTGTCGACTGGGTACCAGCTCACGCTTGTGACGCCTGACGCATGGCCCGGTCGGTCCTAATGATGCATGCGATGACGACATGCGATGTGTATGAGTACCTGCAGCTGCTGCGCTGGCAGCTTGCCGCGTAGCGGTTTGATCGAGCACAGCGGCTTGATGTCGGTAGCGACGACGCCTGGCACGTCGAGCGCGGCCATGTCGTAGAGATGCAGCGCGCCCATGCCCGTACCAACGAGGAGGTACCGGTCCTCGGCCGCTTCGAGGTCCATGTGCCAGATGTTCATGCCCTGCTTGTGGAGCACCTTGGCTTGGTTGAGCTGCAGGTCTCGTGACGCCTCCGCATGCCACGTATGGATGAACTCGCCATGCGCCGTCTCGCCCAGCGACCGCCGCAGGACGTACGCGAACGCGCTGGTCGGCGCCATCCGGATGCGACTGGCGGCGTATCCGGCAATCGAGCGACGGCTTTCTATCAACTTGACACTCGAAACAAGCTCGTACGCTTTGGCGAAACCAAGCGCGTCCGAGCTTTGAACGGAGCAGACTGAGGCGATTGTATCTGCCGCTTGTCCCGGCGTTCCCACACAAGATGCTGACTCGAACGAGCCGCACGCTCTTGACGACGCTGCCATGCATGCTCGACGACGATCTCGTCTCCGTCCCCGTCAACACAAGTGCCTCAAGGCCCGTGTGGAGCTCACTGCCCTGGCGCACAACGAAGAGCTTTGAATCAAGACTGAGGCGATTCTATCTGCCGGCGTTCCCACACAGGATGCTGACTCAAACGTCCAAGCACATGTGCGACAATCGTTCGACATGGAGCTCAGAGCCACGTACGGCTCTGCCTCTGCACGCGAATCAACATCCATCTCGCGCGATGTACTAGGGTAGTTAGGGTTGCTCTAAGTTAAGGTGTAGTATAAACTAAAGGTCACGGTAGTATGCGACGAGGGAGACGTCGTCATGGGGCCTTTGGGAGGCGCGCCTTGCCAAAGGAGAACTTTGGCTTGGGCAGCGACAGGTCGCCGGCCTTGCGCTTGAGACCGAGTAGCGTCCGTCCTGACGTCGCAGGGAGCTCGGGCGTTCCGTGGGACGGAAAGAGACGCCGCGGCTCGGACGCGACTGTTGGCGTTGTGGTCGGTGTCGGTTGAGTGGATGATGCGACGGGCGTTGACGTGATCACGGGCTTGGCGAGAACGGGCGTGGATCGCGGACCGGTGACCTTCAGATCGAGCGGCTTGCGGATCGTGATGGGCCGAAAGCTCAGTAGCGACGGCTTGAAGAGGTCCAGCGTCCGTGGTGGCGTTGGTTTGGCATCTACCGGGCGCGACAACGGCTTCTTTGTGCTGACCGAGCTCATCGTTCGAGGGGTCAGTAGCTTGGTCTCGGTCGTTGGCCTGGTTTTGGGTGTCGGCGTGGTCTTGGGCGGCGGCTTGGTCTCTGGTATCGGCAACTTGGAACCAGCAACCGTAGTGTCTCTGCCCAGGACCATGCGGCCGTGCTCCGTGCGCTCGATTGCGTGGGCCGGCGCTGAGATGATGGGCGATGACGGTGCGAGGGGCTTTGCTTCCGTCGGTGTGGGTCTTGTCTTGGCCCGACGGAGCTCATCCTCGAGTGTCTCGACCGTGTGCAGGAGCTCCGCGTGTTCGGCGTCGCGGCGTTGGAGCATGGACGCTGCGTCGGCT